TCTGAGAAAGAGCAAGACTCCATTTCTACTAAAAATAGAAAAATTAGCCAGGCATTGTGGTGCATATCTGTAATCAACAGCTACTTGGGAGGCTGAGGCAAGAGGACTGTTTGAGCCCCTAAGTTTGAGGCTGTAGTGAGCTGTGATGACACCACTGCACTCTACCCAAGGCAACAGAGCAAGACTTTGTCTCAAAGAAAAAACAGACAAAAAAAAAAATTAAAGATAAAATGGTAGACATAATCCAGCCGCATCAAAAATTACATTAAACGTACATGGTCTAAATATGGCAATTAAAACAGACTGGATTTTTTAAACAAAACTAAATTGTACACTGTGAGAACTACTTGTAATATAGTGATACATATAGGTTAAAAAGTAAAAGATGGGGAAAGATATTCCATGCAAATGCTAAAAGGAAAAAGAAAAGCTGGAGTGGTTATGTTGCTATCAGACAAAGCAAACTTCAGAACAAAGAAAATTACCCTGTAATTTATTCATTCAAAATTTAAATTAAAAATTTATTTTCTTTTTTTAGAGAGAGTCTTGCTATGTTGCCCAGACTGGAGTGCAGTGGCTACTCACAGGCATAATCATAGTGCTCCACAGCCTAGAACTTACACCACAAATGATTCTCCATCTCAGCCTTCTGAGTAGCTGGGACTACAGGTGTGTGCCGTCACACCTGGCTCCCTTGTGATTTATTATTGCACTTCTTAGACTGGATAATAAGCTCAGAGAAAGTAATGTGCCCAAAGTCAAATAGGAACTAACTGAATTGCAATTTAAAGGAAAACTTTCTAGCAATTAGGAATGGAATAAGCTATACTTATTTATGCAGATTTTTGATGGCTCTGCTTATAATTTCAGAGCCAGAAAGAAGGGTAAAGATCATCTAGTCCAACATCCCTCCTTTTACAAATAAAATAAAGTCCTACTTCTAGGTCACAATGGCTATTTTTAAAACTAGAGTTCATATAGCTGAAACTGGAAGCTAAATCTCCTGACCAATGCTCTTCTCACTACACCCTCTTCTGATAATCTAGAAAATGTCTAAGATTCATTTTGAACCACATGATTCTGTGTTTTCACGTTTCTCTCAACATTGTAAGAAGACAGCAACAATCATGGACAGATTTATGTCAAATTTTTAAAAATTTTAAGCACCTAAAGTATTTAGCTTTAGATTTACAAAACTCTTAGACTAAGTTTTACCCTGAAGGCCATTAAAATTCATTGAATTGCATTAGTTTTGTTTTTGCTTTTATCACAACTTAAGAAATTTATAATTAGTAGGATCTATGGGGTTGGCATTAGTTATGTGCAGGAGAGAATATATTGCAATGACTAAAAATTTGGCAGATGACTTTTAGCATCTTTTGATAGGAAAATGTCCATTGAACTGCAAGATTAACCTGAGACAAGGATCAAAATAAGTGGAAGCTGAATATCAATGTAGGCATTTAAAAAAATAATTAGAAGCTGGGTATGGTGGTGTAAGCCTGTAGTCCCAGCTACTCATGAGGCTGAGGTGGGAGGATTGCTTGTGCCCAGGAGTTTGAGACTGTAGTGCACTATGATTGTGCTACAATTGAGAAAATTATATATAAAAAACAAATGCTGAAAGGAAAATAAATTCTAAGGTCAGCTACTCTCTTTACTCAAGAGTGAGTTATGTACATTGAATCAAAGGTTACCTCTTCTTATTCTACTCCTCTGATACACATAATCTCACCACTGCTATCCAGTTTGAGTCAATCAGAATTAATATTACACTATTCCTGTATAAATATCACAAAAAGCAGCCCCAGACTCAGGTTGATGCCCATCTTTCACATTCTAATCCTGGTAAAGCTCTGTATATCTGCTGTTCTTTCCCCAATACATCATATGCCCTTAGCCAATGAAACCTTTCCTTCGTGCCCCCCCTGCAAAAGAAAGTAATTAGACTTATATTTACTATAAAATTTCCAAACACTCAAAAGTAAAATAGTACAATGAAACTCTATATACATATCCAACAACAATCCTGAGAATGAACACATCAAGATTTGCTTCTTTTGCTTCATCTATCCCAGGCGTCCTCAAACTATGGCCTGCGGGCCATATGCGGGTGTTTTTGCTCATTTGTTTTTTTACTTCAAAATAAGATATGTGCAGTGTGCATAGGAATTTGTTTATAGTTTTTTTTTAAACTATAGTCTGGCCCTCCAACGGTCTGAGAGACAGTAAACTGGCCCCCTGTTTAAAAAGTTTGAGGACCCCTGATCTATCCCTTAATTTCTTTGCTGGAGAATTTTAAAGCAAGTCTCAGACATCATTTCATGCCACATACTTCAATATACAGCTCTAAGAAAATGGACAGTAATTTTGAGTTAGTTACTGTAAAATCTATAAAAATATTGAGACAATATTGTGCCCAATAGGTCATAAAAACTTTTGTACTGCAATGAATACCATCATGAAAGTGAAATTACAACCTCAAATGTGAGCAAAATGGGAGAAAATATTTGCAAATCATGTATCTGTTAAGGGACTTGTACTCAGACTATATAAAGAACTTTCACAATTCAACAAAAACAGTACAATTAAAAAATGAGCAAAGGATTTGAATAGACATTTCTCCAAAGACAATATATGAATGGGCAATAAGCACTTGAAAATATGCTCAACATTATTAAGAAAAATGCAAATCAAGACAATGATGTACTCCTGCATATCCACTAGGATGGCAATAATTTAACAAAGACATATAACAAGTACTGGTGAGGATGTGGAGAAATTGGAACCTCATCCATTGCTGTTGGAATGTAAAATGTTATAGCTTCTTGACAAAACTGGGGGTTCCTCACAAAGTTAAACATAGAGTTACAATATGAACAAGCAATTCCACTCCTAGGTATGTACACAAGAGAAATATGTCCATATGCGTCCACACAAAACTTGTCCATGATTATTCATAGCAGCATTATTTATTTGGCTATATATTTATAGCCCAAAAGTAGAAATAACCTGACTGTCCATCAACTGAAAAATGGACCAAAAAAACCCAATGTGGTACATGCAAACAATAGAGTTTATTCCAACATAAGAAGGAAGTACTGATACATATTAAAACATGAATGAACTTTGAAAATATGCTAAGTGAAAGAAGCCAGACACAAAAGGTCATATATTGTATAATTTCAGAATAGGCAAATTCATAGAAACAGAAAGATTAGTGGTTGACTAGCATTGAGGAGGAGGGAAATGGAGAGTGCTTTGGGGTGATGAAAATGTTCTAAGGTTTATTGTGGTGATGGCTGCACAACTCTATGAAAACACTATAAATAAATTATATACTTTAAATATGCAACATTAGTTTTAATAGAAAAAAAGCCAAACTCTGTAAAATAATTTTAAAGACATTTACTCTGAACCAAATTTGAGGATCATGACCTGGAGCCAGGCCCAAGAAGCCTTGAGCAAGTGGACTTACTAGGGTTGGGTTACAGTTTGGTTTTATACATTTCAGGAAGACAGGGGTTACAGGTAAAGTCATACATCAATACATGGAAAACATACATTGGTTTGGCCGGAAAAGGTGGGCCATCTTGAAGGAGGGGGTGGTTACAGGTTATGGGTGGGTTTAAAGATTCTTTGACTTGTAATTGGCTAAAAACATGAAGCTTTGGCAGGGGTTCTCAAACTACGGCCTGCGGGCCACATGAGGCCTGCCAAGGACATCCAGCACCAAGTGTTTTTGCGGCTGCCTGTCATGCTTAGCAGCCGACTAGCCCCGGAGCCCACAGTGCGCATATGTGGAATGTGCACTGCACTCTCCAATGGTCCGAGGACAGTGAACTGCCCCCCCAAAAAAGTCTAGAGGATTGGAATGTTTTAACTTAAGCTGTTCATCAGAGATAAGCCACCTGACATATAGTTGTTGTTTAAATTGAGTATCTGCAGGTTTGTCTTGCATACCCTTAGGCCTGTTAATGGGTTACAAAGGATATACCCAAGAAAGGAAGGGGACATGATGAGGCATGTCTGATCCCCCTCCTGGCAGGCAATTTAGTTTTAGGATTTCATTTGGCCAAAAGGGGGTCCATCAGTGGAGGGCTGTTAAGATTTTATTTTAGTTCACATGAGTCATTAGAGAATGTAATCAAATGCAAATCAATTGTGGATCTCAAAGCTATTTTTAATTAAAATTTTTTAATAAAATCAGAAATTTTAAAAATTAAAAATGTAATGACTTGAAAACTGATGTCATTAAGATGAGTGATTTCTGAAACTCAAGAAATCTGAGCTAGAGAACATTCAAAGACTATGGAGGCCTGAGGACAGATTAAAATAATTACAACTGAAGTCCAGAAAGACTTAAAACTGCTGGGCTAGAATAGCTACCATATGTGTTACGTGTCAGGTGATGTATTATCCTAATTTTACAAATGGCAAATTAACTTGTATCAGGGTCCCAAGAGCTAAATAAAAATGGCTTCAGTCTGATTCCAAGGAACTCTTTTTCCTGCGCCAGGTTGGATTCAGAAAGTACAGAGTTATGGAAGGCCAGCTGGTCTCCTCCCCATCCCCATCCCCCAAAAAAGTTAAGGCCAAAAGGCAGTGGGTGGGTGAACCCAGTTGTTGGGAGTACCTTCTGAGTGAACACTGTCAGACAAAGACGGGTAGAGAAAACTTCCAAGTTTAACAGCTCAATTCCCTCGTGCAGAAGCACTCATTTTTGAGGAGTAATGATTCCACATCTTTTGAGGATGTTACTAAAATTAAAAAGAAGATACATCCAACTTAAGAAAGCCGTGTATGACACCAGCAACTGCTTTCAATCGTGGGACTTCATCCGCTCCCCCCCAGGAACCACGCCACCAGTTCTCCAAAAGCTTTCAGAAGAGCAGTTCGTGACGCAGGCGCGGCGGCACGCCGGGCACACGCACGCGAGACTCGGATCCCCGCCTCTGCGCGTGCGCGCCGGCCCCACGCCCCCCTCTCTTTGGGCTCCGCTTCGCAGGGAGCGCTCCAGAGGCCTTGCAGGCTGCTCTCCTGCCCGCAGCCTGCGGTCTGTGCAGGCAAGTTTCCACGCCGCCTGTGAGAGGTCTGCGGGGCGCCAGCCGCTCGGCGCCTGCGCGGACGGCGGACGTCCGCCACCATGACAGCGCCCTCTGGGGGCCCGGGTAAGCGACGGTCCGGCGGCTTCCGCTCTGCCCGGCCCGGCCCAGCCAGGCCCGGCCCGGCTTCCCTGAGGTGGCCGCCAACCCCGGCGACCCGGGGACGGAAGCGAGTCCGCACTCTCGCAGCGCGCCCAGAGGGCTGGGCGAGAAGCTTGCTTTCGGGTGGGCGTTAAGGGAAAAGCGTTTGGGAAAGCCAAGAATGGCAGGGTTATTGCCTCTTAAGGTCTTGGTTGGAAAGAAAGGAATGTGACACTTCTCTAATCCTTAATCCCAGCAGGTCAAAGGGAGAGTAGTTTGTGGTCAGTCCGGTTCCTGTTTGGGGACCGGGCGGAGGTTGAGAGTGCAGACCGAGGGACTGGCGGGCGTTACTCCAGCTGCTCAGTGCACAGCCGTCCACAGCTGGAAGTGTGTCTGGTGGTTTGACCCGTAGAGTTGCTTTAAACTGCAGCCGAACAGTTCCACTCCAGAAGGTTACAGTGTCTTTTATATAAACTTAAGTAGTCGCATGGGACAGCCTCAGTGACATTCTTTTATTAAATTTAGTTGTTTTTAAAAAATTGTACACACAATAATCAATCATATTTGCTTGTACAGAGTATAATTTATAAATGTTGACATCAAAGGATATAGGTAGTGACTGAAGAATTTTATTCATTTTTATGTTTATGGACATGATCTTTTAAATTTTAAGCTTAGCATGCAGTACATAAAGTTTATAAGAAATTAAAAAAAAATTGTACACACAATACACGCTCATAGAACATTTATAAAGCATATTGAAGTAAGGGAAAAAAATCCCCAAAATGCTGATGCTTAGAGACACCACTAGTAACTTTTTGGTATTTTCTAACAATCACTGACTCTCCTGCCTCCTTCTTTCTTTATTATTTTTAATGGCTGCATGATGTTCCATTGTATGGATATACAATAATTTACTGAATCCACTGTTGATAGACATTTAGTCATAAATAATAGTTATAGTTAAATTTGGTTATAAATAATACTGCACTAAACATCCTTGTATGAAATGTGTTGTTTTCCACATGTAAGCATATCTGTCTCTGGGGTAAATTTATAGCAGTGGAAAATATATAGATGTATTTTTTAAAACTTTTTTTTAAAAAGTCTTTATTGATGTATAATTTATATGCCATACAATTTACTCATTTAAATAATATAATTCAGTGGGTTTTAGCTTATTCACTGACTGGTACAACCATTACCACAATCAATTTTAAAACATTTTCATCTCACAAAAAGAAATACCACCCTGCCACATACACCCTTTAACAACCTCAGCCCACAACTGCTGTTCTTTCTGTCTCTATCAGTTTGCCTATTCTGGACATTTCACCTAAATGGAATCATACAACATGTGACCTCTTCTTTCACTTGGCATGATGTTTTCAAGGTTGATCCACATTATAGCATGTATCAGTACTTCATTCCTTTTTCTGTCTTAATAATATTCCATTGTATACATATACCATATCTCATTTATCTGTTCATTAGTTGATGGACATTTGAGTTGTTCCATACTTAGGCTGTTCTGAGAAATGCTAAAATTCTGTTCCAACTAATCAGCTCTGCTGTGGTGGTAGCTCAAAAACAGCCATAGATTTCACAAGGAGGGAGGTTGAGATGAATAGGTAGACCACAGATGTTTAGAACAGTGAAACTGTTATTTTGTATGATTTTGTAATGGTGGATACGAATGGTCATTGTACAGGTATACCTAATTTTATTGTGCTTCACAGAGAATGCGTTTTTTTGCAAATTCAAAGTTTGTGGCAACCCTGCATTAACAAGTCTGTCAGTGCCATTGTTTTCAACATGTGCTCACTTTGTATCTGTCACATTTTGGTAATTCTTGCAATATTTAAAACTTTTTCATCATTATTATACCTGTAATGGTGATCTGTGATCAATGAACTTTGATATTACTATTGGAATTGTTTTTGGACCCCACAAATCATGCCCATATGAGATGGCAAACTTAGTTGATAAATGTTGTGTGTGTTCTGACTGCTCTACCACCCAGCTGTACCCCCTCCCTATTCCCTGAGACACAGCAATATTGAAATCAAGGCAATTAATAACCCCATAATGGCCTGTAAGTGTTCAAGAGAAAGGAAGACTCACTAAAGACTAACTTAAAATCAAAAGCTAAAAATGATTTAGGCTTAATGAGGAAGTTGAGTGGAAAGCTGAGACAGGCCAAAAGCTAGGCCTCCTGTGTCAAACAATTTGCCAAATTGTGAAAGCAAAGGAAAAGTTCTTCTTCTTTCTTTTTTTTTTTTTTGAGACAGAGTCTCACTCTGTTGCCTGGGCTAGAGTGCCATGGCGTCAGCCTAGTTCACAGAAACCTCAAACTCCTGGACTCAAGCAATTCTTCTGCCTCAGCCTCCCAAGTAGCTGGGACTACAGGTATGCACCACCATGCCTGGCTAATTTTTTCTATATATTTTTAGTTGGCCAATTAATTTCTTTCTATGTTTAGTAGAGATGGGCTCTTGCTCTTGCTCAGGCTGGTCTCAAACTCCTGACCTTGAGCCATCCTCCCACCTCAGCCTCCCAGTGTGCTAATTGGATGCTATACAGCAGTGAGCCATCCGTGCCTGCCTGGAAAAGTTCTTGAAGTGGAATGAATTATGGATATCTCCTAGTTTAGCATTGCAAAGTGATGGAAATTCTAATTACATTGTCTTTGCTGATATATTAAGTAGATATTTGGTAGGGGGTAGTAGAGAAAGGATAAACATCTGGTCATCTGTATATCTGCAAGCTCTAAGGGTGCTAGTAGAGCAAGTATTATTCTTATTGACGCCTGGAGATTTGAAAGAAGCTGCAGAAGGGTATGTGTCAAATTAGCAACCTTAAGGCCTTTGACCTGAGGCAATCGGCGCTTCGGCTCCCAAAGAGTGCCTAAGGATTAACAGGGTGGCCACCGCGCCCGGGCCTTATGTGTATCTATTTGGTAAAGTTTCTGTAATCCCCACAACCTAGGGTTCATGAGATATATAAGGTTAATTATAAAGAGTATCTCCAGGTATTGAGAGGGGGAAAATTCCCCTAGTATAATTTTTAATATGAGATAAGCGAAGTGCTATGCAGAGCTCGTCTGGCAATTGGTTAAGCGTAGGAGTTGCTCTAAATTGAATGAAGGAAAGTTGTAACTAAAACTTACACATGAACTTGCATGGTCAATAGATGAAAAAGCTTTATCGAAGAAATGCCGCTTCTGGGATTTCATTGTTAGAGAGGAGAAGTTAATGCTCTGGTTAAAGCTTCAGAAGGACAGGCTGACTCTGATATTTAGGCTCCGACTAATGCATGCCTTTAAGGTTTATAGTTAGACTAATGTCCTCTAAGTGAATTTATCGTCTGTATATAACAATCAAATTAACATAGTACTTCTTAAGATTTGGTAAATCAGCTTTTTACCTGTGTCTAACGATCTATAATGGAACACGCAATCAATAGTAGAGCTGAAGCACATCTGCTATGATGGTTTAATCTGATTTTCTTTAGGCCATTTGTATGATACATGCACTGTCAGGAAGCAACAGATTCCTTAAAAATTTACCTTCTATAATTAACATGTGTAAAATTGACAATGATTACTTGAGAAACTTTGAGGCAAGCGCTCTGTAAGGAGATACAATGGAGAAATTGATCGTGGTGGCCTCTCTCCAATGCACTAATAAACCACCAACATTCATATGCAGCCATGGAATCAAAGTCTTTATTTCAGTTTTTAAGAAATTTTGTTAAGATATTCCCAAAATGGGTTTTCCAATAGGGGAAGGTAATAGTGCACGATACAAGTATTCCTTCGAGGAATCTTTATGGTGAAAGAGTACATATGCAAACTTGTCATCGGAATATTAGAATTCCAAACTTCTTGCATCCTATTGACCTCTCCATTCAAAGAAAATTTTCAATTAATGTCCATTTTACCGATTTAGGAAGCAAGATATGTATAACAGAAGGTTATGGAACTTAAGTTGCATTCTACCTTTTATGGTGACTTTGATGGAGTTAAGATTAACAGTGGGAGGAAATTTTGTGATATTCATTGGAAATAGCAGAGAGGAGAACCTTAGATCTCATGCATTGAAATTCAGTAGAGCCTGAACCAAAAAAAATAAACAACCCAAGGGAAGCTGATTTAATTATAGATAGAAAGAGATGTAGAATAGATAGATGAGTCTCGATGATAGCGATAATGCAATTTTCTTATGCGCTCTCGCTTGCCTGTGGGTCAATTCCCTTGTGGTTCTTCATTTTTCCTTTCTATACTTAGTGGAGAAGAAGAAAGGTAAATAAGGATGAGAATCTTCGGTAGTAATCCTGTAATTTTACGTACGCAGTGGTGGGCAGATGTACAAACGGGCCAACTGGGTCTGGACTTAATATATAAAAGAGATATATTTAAGAAATATAAAAAAAGGCAGGCAATTCAATTTTCAGGGGAATAAAATAGGCCTCTAACGCTACCTTTACTGAATGGGTGAAGATGGTACTATATTCTTATGAGAGCAAGAAGGCACGTTTGGTATCTCATGCAGATGGTGGTCTTCGTTTGTTATTGTGAGTATTTGTTGAAGATAGCAACATGGGTGTGTTACTGACATACAAGCCGCTTCCTTTTTAGAATATGTATTTAACTTTAGCGGATTAAGTAGAGAACAGTTTTTAGGATTGACTTGCCTTTTTGAAGAATTCGTGAATAAATGTATCAAACAGCATTGCGATGTACAGATGAGTTTAATTATATGGAAAGGCAAAGTCTGATTAAGATGTCGTATATACTCCTTCTATTGCTTGTCTCTGTCTTAAGAAAATAAGAAGGGTGTTAAAATGGCTACCAAGACCTTCACTGCACCGCCTCATAAACAGTCAAAGCTTGAAAATTGCCCACACATTAATCAGTCAGTCGCGATTGGCAGGTTGAGCAAGACACTACTACCCATCACAGAATAATGAGTCCAAGAAAATGATAGTATATTACAACATTATATTCAAACCTATAATTTTTGGTTTCTTCGATTTAAGCATTATTAAAACTATTTGTTAGAGTAGTTAACTTCTGTTGCCAATATTCTGGCTGTTTTTCTGACAAATAGTAGCTCGCGCCTTGAATTCCCATGCGTGGACGCGAAGTATCTAAAGCTTTGAGAAATGACAGTTGCACACACCGTATCCTTAACTATCTCTATGTTAAAACTGTGGTGTGCTACCATGTGTTGCTCGGATCAGGGAAAAAAGTCCCGTGATTAGTGAGTGAACAAGTCGTGCTTCAGTGTGGAATGCACGAATGTCGAAAGTGAGTGCAAGGTTCGACCTGGTCACAGCCTAGACAACCCTCGTTGGTAGCGGTGATTGCTGTGCCATAGACATCCAGGGATGATAGCTGCGGAGGATACCAGTGCAATAGCGCACTCCGGAGGGCAGCCTTGTTCATGCCGGCTAATTTTTCATTGTCTATAAATTAGTAATCACCAAAAATTGGCCAACATATTTTTCATTATACTTTCAAAATTGGTAAATCATTACTGACGCCACAAGAAAAAAAAGTCCACTTCTGTTGTTTCAGGACTGTTTTGCTATACTACTGATCCAACAAAGCTATATACCGCACCTCGGCACTCCCAAACGTGCAGGACCTCTTTGAGAAAACCCTCAAGTGTACGATGCGCGTGATTCAGACCAACCAACATAGAGCTTCCCAACATAAAGGTTCTTAAAGTGCTCAATGGGTTTTGCACATAATCCGTGAAGGCACATGCACAAATTTGTAGATGCAAGATATTTTAAAATTATAGTAATTGTTGCGCGAACATGGGTTTCTTGTCGTTAAAAGAACATAAGACTTGCGTATGGGTATAATGGAAAATCAATAATCAACTAGTAGACTAAACCTTATTACATGTAAGATCTATGATAACTTCGGTGGTATAATGATACAGTCTTGCGCGAAAGTGCAGACCTACTTTCGATGTAGCATTTTATATTTCTTATTGCAGTGGTCTGATTCTGATTATTTGGCGAGTATCTCCAAGGTATGGTCTCGGTTCGTGGATTCGTGTATCAAGTTGGAATTACTTATGGATAAAGAGGAAGCTGTTTCAGCACACAATTTTTGATGAAATTGGATTGTGATTGAATGTATATAAAACACTGTTTGCACTAGTGAGGAATGTAGTCGGTTGAGGAACAATGCACTGGTATGTGCGGCCCCTGCTGAGCTATTAGATCGTTAACCTACAAACAATACGACCCATACAGCAATCATGTCGCTCAGCCACTAGATCTTAAAGTATCTAGACGTGAGCTCTGGATTGACTTTTGAAATGCTTTAAGTATTTACTACTAGCTGAAAAAAGTACATTGGGAGAGGTAGTGTTAATCGCCTGATACTGGAACTATACTTTTTGGCTGATATGAGAGGATATTGAGGTTATAATCTCCCTCATCAAAGAGAACGTCAATCACTCCTATGCTAAAATATCGTGTCGACAAGAATTTTTGATCGTAGGTGGCGTTGGACAAGATAGTGTTTAGGAGTTAGAAGGGGCTACCAAAAGATAATTTGAATTGAGAGGTAGAGATGAATACCTAGATAATGGTATGTTCTTTTCTTTAATTTAAGAGGAATAGAGAGATATCCAGTTCTGACACTCTGAGAGGGCCGGAGGCGGAGCGGAGGATTGCTCAAAATCAGGAGTGAGATCGAAACCAGCCTGAGCACGACGGAGACGCGATTACTAAATAGAAAGAAATTAATTGATAAAAAGAAGAGAGGATACTAGTAGAGAAATTAACGGCATGGTGGTGCGGAATGTGTGGAAGTCCGCAGCTACTTTGGGAGGGCGAACAGAGGTGCTTGAGCAGGTTTGAGGTTGTGTGAGCTGGGCTGACACATTGGCACTCTAGCCCAGGCAACAGAGTGGACTCTGTTCAAAAAAAAAATATACACAGTGTGTCTAAGTACAAACAGAGCAATTTCATCCAGTAAAAGAGCAAAATTTGTACTTGAAGTATTAAAATGTAATTTGAAGAAAAAATTCTAGAGTCAGGATTTATTTTAATTTGGAGAAGTTGCCCTCATATGAAGTCTGAGGATGAAGGATATGGATTTGAGTTGGAAGGTGAGTGACGATGGAAAATGAATATGCACATTAACTTTAGTTTTTCAGGTAAGAATACGAAGATGAAGTGAGATCCACCTCACATATGTGAAGGAAGATGATGATGATATTGAAAACCTGTTAGGATCTAACAGACATTAGTCATCTATTTTGCATGGACTAGTGTACCATGACTTAATTGTTTTTCGTAATTATCGGACATTTGTTTGCCTATATGGTTGCCTTCTTACTGCTGGTTTTCCAGAGACAGGGTCTTGCTTTATTGCGATGCTGGAGTGCAGTCGCTTGTCATAGCATCACTGTAACCCTGTAACCTGGATTAAGCAGTCCTCGTGCCTCGCCTCCCAAGTTAGCTTGGATTCAGGAACAATACCGGTAATTAAAAAAATATATATTTGTAGAGATGAGATCTTGCTGTGTTGCCCAGGCTGGTCTCAAACTCCTAGCCTCAAACAATCCTCCTGCCTTGGCCTCCCAAAGTGCTGGGATTACAAGCTTAAGCCCCTTTACCCAGCTGGCCTAAAATTTGAAAAATGATGGCCACATATTGCCATCTAAGTCTGAAAGGTCTGCGACTCTATTGTATATGTCAGATAGAGGTGTGTGTTTTGCTTAGGTATAGTGGATGCTCCACCTAGCTTTCCTTTTTTTTATTCTATAGTCCAGTATTCAAAGTGGTCATTAAGTCCCATGTATGATAGAATTTACCTTTGTATGCCCCTCCATTCTCTGGTTGCATTTTACTTTTTCTCAATGTTTTATTGGCAGTTTCTGATAGCCAGTTTTAGGTTTTTAACTGTTGTTAGGTAGAGTTAATAAACACATAATTAACAGAAGACAGAATTTCACACATGGGGAATTTGCAGCCACTTGGTAAAATTATGAACAACTTTTTTCACTTTTTAGCTTTGTCATTGTTATTTTAGGACATGGTAGAGTATGGAGTAAATCTGGATTCCAGTATTTTTCTACACTTACCTTAGTCTTGTTTAACTCACAAAATTTAATGCTTAATTAAGAGAAAATCTGGTACGCCAAAAAGTAGTTGGTATGAACATTATGTACATTTGTAAATGTTATATAAAATGCTATTTCAAATAAATGCAAAATACTATTTTTATAAATGCTAATTCAAAAGTTTACTAGGTTGCTCATATAAATGTTGCTGAGAATCATCTGAAGGTGAATATGCAGTAAAATGTACAATTTACATTCTAAATTGTTAATATAAATATAGAATGGAGCTTCAGGTGGAGAAAAAAAGTTGTACAAAACTTAGAATTTTAAATATAGCTTTGATTTTATGTAAATTTTGCTTGTATTTCTGGGGCCAGGCTTATAGAGAACATCATATGAAATTTCCTGCTTTTAAATATCTGCTACTTACCAGTTTTATTTTTTTCATACATACTTTCTTATGCTTCTGATTTTCAGGCTGTCTTATATGTCTACTAATTATTATTTACATAACATATAACATGTTTTTATATATATGTGATATACCTGCCACATAATAATACTTGATCTGTATTTTTAAAATCTTGTGTTTTTCCTAGTCTAATTATTTTGTTATGCTCCTTCAATATATCCTCTGTCCTTTTTTGTTAAATTTTTTTACACCATAACTCAGCAATCCCTTTTCTGGGCATATACCCAAAGGAAATGAAATCACCACTTTGTAAAGGTATCTGCACTCCCATGTTCATTGCAGTACTATTCACAATAGCCAAGGTATGGAAACAACCTAAGTGTTGATGAACAAATGGACAAAGAAATTGTGGTACATATATACAATGGAATATTATTCAGCCCTAAAAAGAAAGTGATCTTGCCATTTGCCACAACATGGGTAAGCCTGGAGGACATTATGCTAAGTGAACTATGCGAGACCCTGAAAGAAAATATTGTTGCATGATCTCACTTTTATGCAGACTCTGAGATCTAATGTGCAACATGAGGGCTATAGGTAATAAAATTGTACTGTATAGGATTCATGCTAAATTAATAGATTCTAGCTACTCTTGCCACAAAGACAAAAAAAAAAGGGTATGTAAGATGATGGATATGTTGATTTGCTTTACTGTAGTAGCCTTTTCCCTATCTATATTATGTTTAAAAGATTTTACCCCATAAAAAGCAAAATATATATATATTTTAGCAATATATTTTTTCATAAAAAACTGTTAATTTAGGATCTTGGAGTGAAAATATACTAGAGTATTTTCTGAGAAATAACCAGATTACAACAGAAGATGGTGCTGAGATCATCTGGTATCATGCAGCTAACCACAAGGCACAAATGAATGAAGCACTGAAAAGTAAGTCACTACAGTTACTTGTAATTTACTTTGGATAATAGATTAATTCAACTTCTTTTTTGATATCTAGGCCTATTTACAGGTAGGAGAGACTTAGGAGATCCAAATGGAAATTCTAGGATGACATAAACATTTTTATGAAGTGTTTCGTTTTGTTTACAAAATGAGAACAAATTGCATAATTGAAGAATTTTCTTTTTTTTTAGAAGTGATTTGCCTTGACATGTCTTACTGGAACCCTCATATATTATTAAACTTTCTTACATATTGTAGTGATTTGAATATAGCTTTTAAGATCAGGATCATCATAATATCTTACATCTTTTTGTAGTATACTAATGAGCGGCTCAATAAATATTTGTAGAATGGATGGATGAAGCCATTGAATTCTAATTTATAATTAATTGCTTTGGGCAGTATTTATGACTAAGCTAGAAATCAAGCCTTTGGTTTGCTAATTGAACCTGTAATGAAATATATATATCTGTTCATTATATAGATGAACACTTTAGCAGTGCTTAGCAGTGTTTCTCAGTCTTTTCCTATGAAGTACATGTTAGCTGCAGCAGGAAAGGAGAATGAAACTATATCACTAGAGGGCTGGGGCACAGCTTACAGTATCCTGGACCAACAAGGAAACTTCCTTGAAGTCTCCTGTTTTATTGTAAAACTTTATGCATTTTTTGCACTCCATTATATATCTGGGCTTCTTTTACTGTAAAAACACTGTTTTAAATTGTTTTTCTTTGCTCCTCAAAAGGAAGAACTTTGTTTTGTTTAATATTGAATTTCTAATGCCTAAAAACAGTATCTAGGATATAATAACCACACAGTGATTATTTAATAAATGAATTTTAGCAAAAGTTATCCTTCAGGAAAAAGTTGACTAGTGGTTTTCAGGAGCTGAAGGAGCAAATGCTAATGGGTACGTTTTTGGATAATAAAACTTTTCTGGAATTAGATAGTGGTAATTATTGTATTAATACAGTATGCTGGACTACAAGGTAGCACCACCATGCCTGGCTAATTTTCTACTTTTTGAGAGATAGGGTCTTGCCTGTTGCTCAAGCTGGTCTTGAACTCCTGGCCGCAAGCGATCCCCTCGCCTCGGCCTCTTTTTTTTTTATTTGAGACAGAGTCTCGCTTTGATGCCCAGGCTAGAGTGAGTGCCATGGTGTCAGCCTAGCTCACAGCAACCTCAAACTCCTGGGCTCAAGCGATCCTGCTGCCTCAGCCTCCCGAGTAGCTGGGACTACAGGCATGCGCCACCATGCCGCTAATTTTTTTCTATAAATATTAGTTGGCAATTAATTTTTCTATTTATACTAGAGACAGGGTCTCCTCTTGCTCAGGCTGGTTTCGAACTCCTGACCTCAAGAATCCCGCCTCGGCCTCCAAAGTGCTAGGATTACAGGCGTGAGCCACCGCACCTGGCCTCACCTCAGGCTCTTAAAGTGCTAAGATTACAAGTGTGAGCCACTGCACCTAGCTAGCAGTAAAATATTTTAAATTAAGGTATGCACACTGTTCAGCATGCTATTGCATACTCAAAAGGCTACAGTATATGTAAGTATAATTTTATATGCCTGGGAAACCAAAACATTCCTGTGATTTTTAGCGGATATTCACTTTATTGCAGTGGTCTAGAACTGAACCTGCAGTATCTCCAACGTAATGCCTGTACATTTGTCAAAACTCATAGAATGTACACCAAAAGTGAATTTGAATGTAAACTATGGGATTTGTAGTTAATAATAATTTGTCGAATGGCTCATTAGTTGTTATAGACATACAACACTAATGCACAATGTTAAAAATTAGGGAGCTTCAAATAAAATTATTTTAATTACAAAAAAACAAGGAAATTGGAGGGAAAGGTTGGAATCATGTGGGAACTCTGTACTTTTTGCTCAATTTTTTCTATAAATCAAACCTTCTCAAAAAAAAAACTTATCTTAAAAAATTGAAAAGAATTTGCCTTCCTCTTGGCCCTATTTTTAGAGTTACAGCCTATTTAAATTGTAATAGTAATACCCTAGATCATAGGTAATTGTATCTTTCTTAAGATATACACAGTTCCTAGCACTCTGAGAGGCCGAGGCGGGCGGATTGCTCAAAATCAGGAGTTCGAAACCAGCCTGAGCAAGAGTGAGACTTGTCTCTACTAAAAATAAAGAAATTAATTGACCACTAAAATATATGAAAAAATTACCAGGCATGGGCACATGCTGTAGTCCAGCTACTTGGGAGGCTGAGACAGGAGGATTGCTTGAGCCCAGGAGTTTGAGTTGCTGTGAGCTGGGCTGACATTTGGCACTCTAGCCCAGGCAACAGAGTGAGACTCTGTCTCAAAAAAAAAAAAGATATACACAGTTGTGTCTTAAGTACAAACAAGCAATTTCATCCAGTAAAAGAGCAAGAAGAACTTTTACTTGAAATATTTAAAATATTTTAAAACTCTAGAGTAATAGATTTATTATTAATTTGTAAGTTGCCTTTATAAAAGTTCTGAATGAAGTATGTTTAGTTGAAAGGTGCTGTGGAAATGTCCAATATGCACCATTAAACATTTAGGCTTTTTCAGGTAATACACATAATTATCATTTCTCTAAGTCATTTGATGTATCTCAAAATCTTTAGGTCTAACAGCCACATTAGTCACATATTTTTTCATGACTATGTACCATGACTTAATTGTTTTTCTATTATTGGACATTTGTTATAGCCAATAATTAATGTGCCTTCTAAAATGCCTGACTTTTTTCCAGAGACAGGGTCTTGCTTTATTGCCCATGCTGGAGTGCAGTCGCTTGGTCATAGCTCACTGTAACCCTGTAACCCCTGGGCTTAAGCAGTCCTCCTGCCTCAGCCTCCCAAGTAGCTGGGATTACAGGTACACACCATACCTGGCTAATTAAATATATATATTGTAGAGATGAGATCTTGCTGTGTTGCCAGGCTGTCTCAACTCCTAGCTCAAACAATCCTCTTGCCTGGCCTCCCAAAGTGCTGGGATTACAAGCTTGAGCCCTTTACCCAGCTGGCCTAAAATTTGAAAAAGGATGGCCACATATTGCCATCTAAGTCTGAAGGTCTGTGACTCTATTGTATGTGTCAGATAGAGGTGTGTGTTTGCTTAGTATAGTGATGCTCACCTAGCTTTCCTTTTTTTTATTCTATAGTCCAGTATTAAATGTCCATTAAGTCCATGTATGATAGAATTTACTTTGTATGCCCTCCATTCTCTGGTTGCATTTACTTTTTCTCAATGTTTTATTGCAGTTTCTGATAGCCAGTTTTAGGTTTTTAACTGTTGTTTGCGTGAGCCACCGTGCCTGGCCTGGAAAAGTTCTTGAAGGAAATGAAAAGTGCTACTCCTGTGAACACATAAGTGATGGGAAATCAAAATAGCCTTATTGCTGATATAGAGAAAGTTTGAGTGGGCTAGATAGAAGATTAAACCATCTACAACATTCCCTTAAGCCAAAGACTAAAGTAGAGCAAGGTCATTATTCTATGAAGCCTGAGAGATTTGAAGAAGCTGCAGAAGAGAAGTTTGAATCTAGCAAAGGTTGGTTCATGAGATTTAAGGAAATAAGTCATCTCCAGAACATAAAAGTATGAGATGAAGCAGTAAGTGCTAATGCAGAAGCTGCAGCAAGTGGTTCAGATAATTGATGAAGGAAGTTGCACTAAATAACAGACTTTCAATAGATGAAACAGCCTTCTATCAGAAGAAAATGCCTTCTGGGACTTTCATTGTTAGAGAGGAGAAGTTAATGCTCTGGTTTCAAAGCTTCAAAGGACAGGCTGACTCTGATATTAGGGCCAGTGCAGCTGGTGATTTTAAGTTGAAGTCAGTGCTCATTTACCATTCCAAAAATCCTAGAATTCTTAAGAATTTTGCTAAATCAGCTTTTCCTGTGCTCTATAAATGGAACAGCAAAGTGTGGCTGATAGCACATCTGTTTATAGCTTGGTTTACTGAATATTTTAAGCCCATTGTTGATACCTGCTCAGGAGAAAAAGATTCCTTTAAAAATATTACTGTTCATTGACAATGCATCTGGTCACCCAAGAGCTCTGAAGGAGATACAAAAGGAGATTGATGTTGCTTTCATGCCTGCTAACACAACATTCATTGTGCAGCCCATGGATCAAGGAGTCTTTTTTACTTTCAAGTCTTATTTTTTTAAGAAATACATTTTATAAGGCTATAGCTGCCACAGATAGTAATTCCTTTGATGGATCTGGGAAAAATAAATTGAAAACCTTATGGAAAGGATTCACCATCCTAGATTCCATTAAGAACATGCCCGATTCGTAGGAGGTCAAAATATTAACAGGAGTTTGGAAGAAGTTGATTCCAACCCTCATGGATGACTTTGAGGAGTTCAAGACTTAAGTGGAGGAAGTGATGGAAATAGCAAGAGAACTAGAATTAGAAGTAGAGCCTGAAGATGTGACTGAATAGCTGTAATCTCATGATAATGCATTTAGGTCTGGGACAATTATTCCTGGTTATTCAATGGGGAGACTATAAATCTGGATTGTATGACCTGTATTTACATAGCACTGCTCAGCATATAACTTATTAAAAAGCATGTACTAAGCAAAAAAAAAATAATAATAATAACTTTAATGGATGAGCAATTGCTTCTTATGGATGAGCAAAGACAGTGGTTTCATGAGATGGGATCTACTTCTTGTGAAGATGCTATGAACATTGTTGAAATGACAAAAGATTTAGAATATTATTTACACTTAGCTGATAAAGTAGAAATAGGTTTTTAGAGGATTGACTCCTATTTTGAAGGAAATTCGTGAATAAAAAATGCTATCAAACAGCATTGCATGCTACAGAGAAATCTTTCATGAAAGGAAAAATCAATCAATGTGGCGAACTTCATTGTTGTCTTATCTTAAGAAATCACCACAGCCACCCCAACCTTCAGCAACCACCACCTTAATCAGTCAGCAGCCATTAACATTGAGGCAAG